CCCCCTCCCATCGGCCGATCCCGTTAGCCAAATAGCGTTCCCCGAGCGTTTTAACGTGTCAGATGAAAGCATCTCGTCCCAGGCTCTGCCCCTCCGCACCCCGCGTGGGGAGAACGCGAGCATCGCCGGGCCCTTCGGGTTCACCTTTGTGAACGGCGGAGATACGGAGCGGTGCAGGAGAACCATTGTGCTGGGCGCGGTGCGAGGAAAGCCGCGGTAAAATGGTTGTTGTCAGCCGCGGGGCCGGGGGAAAAAAAAAAATGACAGAACGGCGTCGGCCTGCAGGACTCCCCTTGGTTTGTCTCGGTGTCGGTTATTTCGGCAGGCTGTGTGGCTGTGGTGATAAACCAGTTGAACGCATCGCGTCCTTCACCTCTGCCTGGTGAGGTTTGAGGGCCCCGCGTGGCAAGGGCGGATTGCTGAGATGTTACCTGAAGGTTTGGCTGCTATTGATTCCTTACTGTTAAGGGCTATTTCTGGAGCGTGGGACGTGGCTCTTGTTTTGTGTGTTTGGATAAAGGTTATCGGCTTGGAGTGCTTCGGATGAAACGTTCCCAAAATACCATCCCTGGTGGTACGTGTAATGTTGAATGGTACGGCTCAGATCTCCTGAGAAATACCAGTCGTGGTGGCACACCGTGGTGCTGAAAATACCGTGGAAAACAGGGCTGTATTTTGACACTGGTGAAGGTTTGCTTTCCTGTTCTGCGATTACAAAATAACAACTTTTGTTGCAGGAAGGAGCGTTTTAAGATACGTGTTTCTTCAGACTGCTCGGAGCACACGCACGTTTGGTTCTGTTGTCCCTTCCTGTAGGAGTGTGTCTGTTTTTGCTGCTGGCATCTCAGGGCAAACCTCAGCAGCCCCCGTTGGGCCTTCCCATTGGATTCCCCACAGCACCTGCCTGCCTCTGCTGGTTCCTTTGCTGTTTGTGGGACCTTCTTCCCTTTGTCTGTTGACTCAGACACAGTGATGAACTTGAACCTCAATGTATCCCTTGAACTCGAGGGATGTTGTTCTCCTCCTGTGTCAAGGATGTGCTGCTAAAGAGAAAATGATTCCGGTACAGCAGCTTAAATTACATTTAATCTCGTTGAAAAACCATCTAAAGTAAAAGATCTTTGGATAGTTTGATTGTTATTATTATTATTATTTTGTCTTTAACTGGGCTAATGTTAAGTGCTGCATGGAGAGGACCAGAGTTAAAATTATACACAGAGAAGGTGACTTAGGCCTCAAGTTGGGCTACTGGAAGAAGTTATCTTGTCATGTCCTCCCATTAGATTCTGCTGTAGGTGAGGTTGGAGGATGTTAAACGTTTACTTCCATGTAAATAACGTTTCCATTTGTGCAGCTCCCATCTTTGCCTTATCCAATGCAATTCATCAGGTTGTGTCACTGCAGTAATGTGTTTTTGATGTGTTGTGAGGCAGCCCAGGTTTGTGTGCATGGTGAAAGAAATCAGAAGAGAAGCAAATATCACACTAATAATTACATCTTCAGATGCATCCTACTGGTGGATTTCCTGTAACCAGGATGTGTTGTAGAGAACAATAGACGTGGCAAAGAGTTCAGAGAGTGGTTTTAAAGATTCTGGAGTAGCTGAGAGCAGTGGGGTTCCACCTGGGCACAACCTGTGTGGTTCCTCAAATACATTGCCTTCCAGTTCTCTTGTCTAGCAAAGGAACACTGGGTGTGCTGCTGCTCTCGCCTTTCTGTGAGGCTGTACCTCCCTTCTTGCTTTGTAGAGGCTACAGAATATTTGCAAAATATTCCTCCTGTGGTTTATTTAACAGAATATTTTGTCCTATAAAAGGTTCGGGGTTGGCCTGGGTCTCCATGAACCAGGAAGTGGTAAAGGAGCTGTGATAAATATCCTCTAGGAACTCCTCTAGGATACGATCTTAGCAATTATGCAAGTGTTTTCTGGTCATAATAAGATCACATTGACAATGCACATAAGGTGTGGAAGCGCACACCAGGAGCCCTGAGGATCCCTGGCTGTTGGTGCTGCCAGCAGTGATGCGGGCTCTTGTCCTCTGCATTACAGTGGCCATCAGCTGTCTCCTGTTCAAGCATGCCGTGGGGTCAGAGGGCTTTTTGTTGTGTTTCCTCACTCAAACGTGGTCAGAGGGGTAAAGCTTCACTTCAGCTCTGGATGAGAGGCACAGCTGCACTGCATGGTTCTCCTGCGCCCCGCAGCAGGGCTGTGGATGGCTTTGGTGTCATCCCTTGGCTAGCTTTTATAGCAGTATGGGGTGACTTCATGCCTTCTGAGGTGGTTGGCCATCCTGCCTACTGTAACTTGTGAACATGACCTCTGCCTTCCACAAAACGCTCCGCTCAGTGCAGAACACATCTCCATGCTTTTCAGCAGGCTCCCGAGGCCCCAGAGGTCCATTCTGTTGCATGGCCCATCCTCCACCCGCTGCCCCACGTGTGTCACAGCAGTGACTCTTCTCTTTGACCCTGCCCCGAGCCCCTTCATCCTCAGCAGCAGAAAGCAGCCCCAAGGAAACATCCAATGGTGTTGTGCCATTTTGGTGAGCTGCAGGGGGTTGGTGTGCTGCTGGGTGAGTGCTGGAGAACCCCAGCACTGAGGTGGGTTTGTGCAGCCATGGAGCCACGGTTTGACCAGAGAAATGCTTGGAGATAGATGGCTGTTGGTGGCACTTTTCCCAGAATACATGGCAGCTGGGTTTGGGGATTCTTTGTTCTCGTTGTTCTCTAATGGGCTGAGGAGATGCTCATCATACATTGATTTCTGCATTGAGAAGAGGCTAGAAAAAATTCATTGGATGGAGGGTCAGAAAACCACTAATCCCCTCATGTGAAGTTCCAGAGGGAGCTCAGCTGTGCAGAGCTGCAGCACAAAGAGCGAAAGCAGAACTTAAAATGTAGGAACATGAAATTAGAGGTGAAGTGCAAAGTGTCTGAGGGGAAAAGAAGTGCGCAAAACAGGAGGAAAGGATGGAGAGCAGCTTAAAGCACAGTTGGCTTTTAAGCACTGTATTCCTTCCTCCTTATCTGAGTGCTCATTTACTGTACAAAACATGGAGGAAGAAATACTTTCTGAAGGTCCTTTGAAACGCAGTAGGCATTGGGCAGCACAGTGGGTGCTCCAAACATGGTTTCTCAAAGCATTTTTTTAAACAAATATTTGGTGATCACTGGAATTACAGTTTTTTAGTTTGTTTGTTTGCTTTTTTTTTTTTTTTTTTCAATACCAAAGGGAAATCATTGAGAACTTGTAATACTTTGTCAGAAATTATTATACTGGTCACTCTTGAAGTTTTTATTTTGCTTTTAATGTCCTGCTAAACCCTCCTGGTTTCTTTGGCAGAAGAAAAGGCAAGGTAGCCACTGTAAACACAGCGGGAAGCAGCCAAAGCAGCAATACGTTTTCTCTAAACAGAAAAGTCTCCCTGCTTTACTCATCTTGCTGAGTTGGTTGGGCATCTACCTGGTAGCATGGAGGTGATGCCTCCCTTCTCTTGGAGGCGTGCTGAGGATGGCCCAGCAGACTGAACACAAGATGATGGTTCCTTAATAGGAGCGGACAGCAGGTGATAGTTTTGCCTGTTGTATTGCTTGGCTAGAAAGAGTTTTGATTTTCTCTAGAGGTCAGGATGGGGTGACAGCATGAGATTTCCATATTAGACATTGTCCTTTGAGAGGGGAAGACCAGAAGTGTTTTGTTTGGGGGAAAACTTAGACCTGGAGGAAAGCAGTAAAGCAGCACAGCACAGGGCAGCTGGCAGGCTCTGCAGGTCTCTGCTCTGTGAGCTGCTGACCCCCACTACGGCCCTGCCTGCAGCCATGCTGATGTTTTCTGTGTGTAAAACGTCCTCTCCTCCACTCGTGGAGTTGGTGGGACGGCCTTCTATCAGAATGGGGTGTCTGTGGGTTTGCTCAAAGCTTTTGCTGCGCGTGCAGGATGTCGAGTCACGTTTGAAAAGGAGATTTTGATATTTAATGTTAATCTCAGCCACCCCTGCTTATAGCTTTGCAAGCCAATGCGTAGCATACTTGAATTTTTAAAATGTGAATAAAGTTGTTTTCAGTCTTTCTCTTCAGCTAAGCTAAAATCCCGTTTTCTTCCCTTCTGCTCCCTGCACCAGCACTTGGAGCAGCCGGAGCCCTCCAGATGAGCACCTCTCCTTGCTGGTTTGGCTTCACTGCGTTCTGCTCTGGGCCAATTTCTAACCTGAGGAAAGCCTTGGGACCCAAAAGCATGGGAAAGGGGAATATGTGAATTCAAGCATGCTGAAAGGATGGGGAACGTTTCTTGCAACAGCTTTTGGCTTGTTCCCCATCCATGTGTTCAGCCTGTTTTCCAAGCATCCAGAAATCCTTCCTCTTCCCTGATGTACCGCTGCTCAGAGGCAGCAGCAGCCCCATGAGCCTGTTCCCAGGGAACTGCTGCAGTGGGATTTATTGGAAGAAATCACATGTGGTATTGCACATGTTGGTTATTTTCGTTTCCCTCCTCCTT